ATCTGTCTGGATACAGCAAGGATGTGTTTTACTTAAACAATCTGTCTAGGTATACAGCAAGGATAGAAACAAAGGATTGAGTTTTAATTAAACAATCTGTCTAGGTATACAGCAAGGATAGAAACAGCGGACTGAATTTTACTTAAACAATCTGTCTAGGTATACCACAAGAATAGAAACAATGGATTGTGTTTTACTTAAACAATCTGTCTAGCTATACAGCAAGGATAGAAACAGTGGATTGTGTTTTACTTAAACAATCTGACTAAGGTGTACAGCAAGGATAGAAACAGTGGATTGAGTTTTACTGAAACAATCTGTCTGGGTATACAGCAAGGATAGAAACAATGGATTGTGTTTTACTTAAACAATCTGTCTGGGTATACAGCAAGGATAGAAACAATCTGTCTAGGTATACAGCAAGGATAGAACAGAGGACTAACTTTTACTTAAACAATCTGTTTAGGTATATAGCAAGGATAGAAACAATGGATTGTGTTTTACTTAAACAATCTGTCTGCGTATACAGCAAGGATAGAAACAATCTGTCTGGGTATACAGCAAGGATAGAAACAATCTCTCTAGGTATACAGCAAGGATACAAACATTTGATTGAGTTTTACTGAAACAATCTGTCGAGGTGTACCGCAATGATAGAAACAGCGGACTGACTTTTCCTTAAACCCTTAAACAATCTGTCTAGGTATACAGCAAGGATAGAAATAGTGCATTGTGTTTTACTTAAACAATCTGTCTGAGATATACAGCAATGATGGAAACAGTGGATTGTGTTTTATTTAAACAATCTGTCTGAGGTATACAGCAAGGATAGAAACAATCTGTCTAGGTGTACAGGAAGGATAGAAACAGTGGATTGAGTTTTACTGAAACAATCTTTCTGGGTATACAGCAAGTATACAAACAGTGCATTGTGTTTTACTTAAACAATCTGTCTGAAGGATAGAGCAAGGAAAGAAACAGTGGATTGAGTTTTACTTAAACAATCTGTGTGGGTATACAGCAAGGATAGAAACAAAGTGCCTAGGTATACAGCAAGGATAGAAACAATGGATTGTGTTTTACTTAAACAATCTGTCTGAGGTATACAGCAAGGATAGAACAGTGGATTGTGTTTTACTTAAACAATCTGTCTGGGTATACAAGAAGGATATAAACAATCTGTCTAGGTGTACAGCAAGGATAGAAATAGTGGATTGTGTTTTACTTAAACAATCTGTCTGAGATATACAGCAATGATAGAAACAGTGGATTGTGTTTTACTTAAACAATCTGTCTGGGTATACAGCAAGGATAGAAACATTGGATTTTGTTTTACTTAAACAACCTGTCTGCGTATACAGCAAGGATAGAAACAATCTGTCTGGGTATACAGCAAGGATAGAAACAATCTCTCTTGGTATACAGCAAGGATACAAACAGTTGATTGAGTTTTACTTAAGCAATCTGTCTAGGTGTACAGCAATGATAGAAACAGCGGACTGACTTTTCCTTAAACAATCTGTCTAGGTATACAGCAAGGATAGAAATAGTGCATTGTGTTTTACTTAAACAATCTGTCTGAGATATACAGCAATGATAGAAACAGTGGATTGTGTTTTATTTAAACAATCTGTCTGAGGTATACAGCAAGGATAGAAACAATCTGTCTGGGTATACAGCAAGGATAGAAACAATGGATTGTGTTTTACTTAAACAATCTTTCTGAGGTTTACAGCAAGGATAGAACAGTGGATTGAGTTTTACTTAACCAATCTGTCTAGGGTGTACACTGTAATGGAAATTGAAGTATAAGAGTTATGTCCCTTGAATATGACTTGTGTAATGGAAATTGAAGTATTAAATTAATGTCACTTGAATTTGATTATAGCTAATTACATATTGGTTAATTTGTTCATCTAATGATTTTTGTCGATTAATACAAATGTTTATAATTATGTATTAAGATATGGAAAGGTATTTTGTACTTTGTTAATATTTTAGTATGCATCATTTATGTTAATTTAAATACCAACAATTGTCACACCTAATGAAAGAGTTTATTATACATGTAAATAGAAATTACTTTGAATTATTGCGAGCGCTGTTATACTGACTGTTGGTGAAGCTTTCAGAGATGCACAGACGACGAAAGACTTCTTACTAAGCAAGTAACACAGTCATTTGTAACAGGTGGTGGGTGAAAGTCTGAAATAGTGGCTTTTCCGAAACCGCTTGTCAAGCTGGTGCGAGAGTTGTTTAGTTCTCACGGAAGCTTGGACTTTGACTGTGGGTAGCTAGCTATAGAGTTAGGTTAGAACCCGAGCTAGGAACACAAGCAAGAGTTGACTTAGTTGGTAGGACAACCTAGTGCTTAGTCAGGACCGACTAAGTTGTATTGCTCGGCGACTAGTTCAGTAGCCTCACGTTACATACAGCAAGGATAGAAACAGTGGACTGAGTTTTACTTAAACAATCTCTCTAGGTGTACAGCAATGATAGAAACAGCGGACTGACTTTTCCTTAAACAATCTGTCTAGGTATACAGCAAGGATAGAAATAGTGGATTGTGTTTTACTTAAACAATCTGTCTAGGTATACAGCAAGGATAGAAACAGTGGATTGAGTTTTACTTCAACAATCTGTCTAGGGTGTAGGGCAAGGATAGAAACAGTGAATTGAGTTTTACTTCAACAATCTGTCTGAGATACACAGCAAGGATAGAAACAGTGGATTGTGTTTTACTTAAACAATCTGTCTGAGGTATACAGCAAGGATAGAACAGTGGACTAACTTTTACTTAAACAATCTGTCTAGGTATACAGCAAGGATAGAAACAATGGATTGTGTTTTATTTAAACAATCTGTCTAGTTATACAGCAAGGATAGAACAGTGGATTGTGTTTTACTTAAACAATCTGTGTGGGTATACAGCAAGGATATAAACAATCTGTCTAGGTGTACAGCAAGGATAGAAATAGTGGATTGAGTTTTACTTAAACAATCTGTCTAGGTATACAGCAAGGATAGAAACAGTGGATTGTGTTTTACTTAAACAATCTGACTAAGGTGTACAGCAAGGATAGAAACAGTGGATTGACTTTTCATTAAACAATCTGTATAGCTATACAGCAAGGATAGAAACAGTGGATTGAGTTTTACTTAAACAATCTGTCTGGGTATACAGCAAGGATAGAAACAGTGGATTGAGTTTTACTAAAACAATCTGTCTGAGGTATACAGCAAGGATAGAAACAATCTGTCTGGGTATACAGCAAGGAGAGCAACAATCTGTCTAGGTGTACAGCAATGATAGAAACAGTGGATTGTGTTTTACTTAAACAATCTGTCTGAGGTATACAGCAAGGATAGAACAGTGGATTGTGTTTTACTTAAACAACCTGTGTGGGTATACAGCAAGGATAGAAACAATGGATTGTGTTTTACTTAAACAATCTGTCTAGTTATACAGCAAGGATAGAACAGTGGATTGTGTTTTACTTAAACAACCTGTGTGGGTATACAGCAAGGATATAAACAATCTGTCTGGGTATACAGCAAGGATAGAAACAGTGGATTGTGTTTTACTTACACAATCTGTCTGAGGTATACAGCAAGGATAGAAACAGTGGATTGTGTTTTACTTACACAATCTGTCTGGGTATACAGCAAGGATAGAAACAGTGGATTGAGTTTTACTTAAACAATCTGTCTGAGGTACACAGCAAGGATAGAACAGTGGATTGAGTTTTACTTAAACAATCTTTCTGAGGTTTACAGCAAGGATAGAACAGTGGATTGTGTTTTACTTAAACAATCTGTCTAGGTATACAGCAAGGATAGAAACAATGGATTGTGTTTTACTTAAACAATCTGTCTAGTTATACAGCAAGGATAGAACAGTGGATTGTGTTTTACTTAAACAATCTGTCTGAGGTATACAGCAAGGATAGAAACAATCTGTCTGGGTATACAGCAAGGATAGAAACAATGGATTGTGTTTTACTCATACAATCTGACTAAGGTATACAGCAAGGATAGAAACAGTGGATTGTGTTTTATTTAAACAATCTGACTGAGGTACACAGCAAGGATAGAAACAGTGGATTGTGTTTTATTATTACAACAATCTGTAACAACAACTGGTTTACAGTTCTAGGTGTCAAAAACTGTTTAGGTATACAGCAAGGATAATAAATTGTGTTTCAAAATATTTTTGCTGTATTCGGCAGTAACGGAAAACAGCTGTATTTTAACACGTGCCGTAATTCCACTGAATTACTATTTGAATTTGCTTAAATAGTACGTTTAGAAATGTAAATAGTTGTTGAAATTAGAGCGATTTGACATGTTGTTATGAACAAGTTGATTTATGAAAATTCGTAAATCGCTGTTATATCCAATGATGTTTGGAACTGTGCTTCCATGCGGAGAAATTATTTTGGCGTCCGTCATCAGGCAAAAATTCAGCGTAACGCCAACATCAGGAAAACACAGATTGGACAACAAAACTGTTTAAGTTTCAATAGTCTGATTTTCAATCAATGTTGCAGGATAAATAGAATACATTGTCAATTTCTTAAAATATCAGCGGTATTTTGGCTCGGGACAGAAAGACAAACGAAGCTCGCCACTTTTGTCTTTCTTCACCCTCGCCAAAATGCAGCTCAATTTTAAGACACTGACAATGTAGCCTCTATGCATTGTCGTTTAACACATTATGGTAGTTATTCATGTTTTGTAAAACGACAAGTTCATATAAAAGATAATCTTACACGTTAAAAATAATAAAACATTAATTACAGTGATTCCTCATTCCAACACAGGATGTAAGACACATCTATAAATATAATTTTTCGATTTGTTCTGAAAACATATATATTTTTTGATCATTTGTGTTATCAACCTGATCAGCTGACGAACCTTTGTAAACAGATGACCCCTGAACTTTCTATAGTTTAATCACGTGTCCTGCACCTGATCTCGCAGTAAATATAACCCTTCTATAGTTTTGTTTTGACCTTTGGTGATTTCCCTTGTGTCTGCCTCGGTAGAGGTTTATCCAGGTGATGTCCTATAGAGGGCGCACATTTAGATTGTTTTGTTTTATCTGTAAAATCATCAATGAAAGTAAGTGTGCTTGAATCATAATCAGAGCATGTTGGGAAGGACATTGGAACTTCCGTCCAAATCTCCCGTAGTCGTTCCTGCCACTGGGAGAGGTAGTCAGCACGCGTGGCTTCGTTAATAAAGGGTAATCCGTGTGACAATTGAGGAGGAAGAACTTCAAACCCACAGATCCGTAAAATACCATACTGTAACGATAATATACTTTAATAAGATAAAGTGTCACAAATCATTGATTTAAGATTTCTGTTATTTTTTTTAATTAGTTGAAATTCTTCTAACACAGTTTATTCAGAAATCAAATTTCTATTTAAGAAATTTAAGAAATAAAATAGATGTCAATGACAGCACTGATGACGTCAGAAGGCAGCATTTGTTAATCCCATCTGACATGTTTCGACCTCGATTTATCAATTTGTAATTTAAATAATGTTTCAGATGACGTTATGATTCTCTTGTTGTTGTTGCTGTCGTTATTGTTGTTGTTGTTTTTGTTTATGTTATTGCTTTTGTTGTTGCTGTTGTTGTTGTTGCTGTTGTTGTTGCTGTTGTTGTTGCTGTTGTTGTTGTTGCTGTTGTTGTTGCTGTTGTTATTGTTGTTGCTGTTGTTGTTGCTGTTGTTGCTGTGGTTGTTGTTGTTATTGCTGTTGTTGTTGATGTTGTTGTTACTGTTGTTGTTGTTGTTGCTGTTGTTGTTGCTGTTGTTATTGTTGCTGTTATTGTTGTTGTTATTGTTATTGTTGTTGTTGTTTTTGTTTATGTTATTGCTTTTGTTATTGTTGCTGTTGATGCTATTGTTGTTGCTGTTGTTGTTGCTGTTGTTGTTGCTGTTGTTGTTGTTGCTGTTGTTGTTGCTGTTGTTGCTGTTGTTGTTGTTGCTGTTGTTGTTGCTGTTGTTATTGTTGTTGCTGTTGTTGTTGCTGTTGTTGTTTTTGTTTATGTTATTGCTTTTGTTGTTGCTGTTGTTGTTGCTGTTGTTGTTGTTGCTGTTGTTGTTGCTGTTGTTGTTGTTGCTGTTGTTGTTGTTTCTGTTGTAGTTGCTGTTGTTATTGTTGTTGCTGTTGTTGATGCTGTTGTTGTCGTTATTGTTCTTGTTGTTATTGTTCTTGTTAGTAATGTTGTGACTGTTATAAATGTCGTTGTTGCTGATATTGTTGTTGTTGTGGTAATAGAAATATATCAAATTGTCCCCTATTCTATAAGTAATTTAACTGATTGTTATTCCGATGTAGGTGAACAAAATTTAGCTTCTGACCAGAGGTCACTCACCTGTAAAGGCCATAGTAGGACGTTTATGTCTCCGGACACTCCATGGTCAGACAGCATTGACCGGGTCCCTCCAGTCGTAATGGATAGTAACGCCTTCTTGCCCTGAAAACCAATCATTAACACCTGTTGTAATATTTGTAGCCGGAAGTACTCATCGTGATAGCGACCTTCGTACAAATTCAATCCGACAGCCTGCGATTGTGAAGTAATCATTTTTTTATTAGCGAGACTTTCACTCTCTTTTGAACTTTCCCAGAATGAGCACTGTCAAGTCAAATAATGTTAAAGATATTTATTCATATGATATTTTACTATAATAAAAGGCGTTAATTTCACCTGGGTATTTGATTCATTGAGGATTTAGAAAGTTCTTGTACAATTCACCTAGCCAAAACGTTAACTCTGACGCGAATTGACAATAGATCTGACGTAAAATGACCCTGGTTCTGACGGGATCTGTCCCTGATTCTGACGCGAACTGACCCTGAATCTGACGCGAACTGGTCATGGCTCTCTCTAGAACTGCCCCTGGCTCTCACTAGAACTGCCCCTGACTCTGACGCGAACTGGTTCTGACTCTGATGTGAACTGGTCCTGACTCTGATGTGAACTGGTCATGACTCTGATGTGAACTGACCCCGACTCTGGCGTGAACTGCCCCAGAATCTGACGCGAACTGCCCCTGGCTCTGACGTTAACTGACTCTGGCTTTGATGTAAACTGACCCTAGCTTTGATGTGAACTGACCCTGGCTGTAATGTGAACTGACCCTGGCTTTCATGTGAACTGACCCTGACTCTGATGTGAACTGACCCTGGCTTTCATGTAAACTGACCCTTACTCTGACGTGTACTGCCCCTGACTCTGACGTGAACTGAATCTAACTATGAGGTTAACTGACCCTGACTCCGAGACCCTGGCTCTGACGTAAAGTGACCCTGGCTTTGGCACTGATTCGTACGGCCGTATAAGACTCGGCAAGACACTTACCATATCCTCTGTATCATTTGGTGACAGAACAATATCGATTAAATATATGACGGAAAGTCACAAACTTTGTGATATTCCAGCGAAAGCACATTGATTCATTGTTAACCTATTTCCATAATAAATTATCAGTAAGAATAGAAACCCTAACTTTCTAATATATGACCTTGACCTCGAACCTCCTTTCAACCCTGACCTTGACACTGTATTTAACCTTGACATTGACCTTAACTCTTACCCGACCACTTTTTATATTGATTTAGTGCTTATTTGGTACCTACCGCCATAAGTCCGTTGTCTAATATTTGCTTTGTCTCAAAATTAAAAGCAAAGCCATCTTGTAATACACGGTCAAACCAGCCCTTCAAAATAGCTGGAGTGGAACTCCAAAACATCGGAAATTGGAAAATCACGAGATCTGCAGCCTTCAATTTATCCATTTCCGACCGGACGTGAGGTGAAATTTCACCATCACTATAGCAGTTCTTCCCTCCGGAAGTATTAATCCTTTTATCTGCTAAATTTCCTGAAACAAATTTATAGATTACAAGACCTATATGGCACATGTCACGTGACCATGATACACATACATTAGTGATAAAGCTCTCTAGGAAAAGTATTTCATTAGTTCCATGCTTTAACTACGTGTATCATGTGGATTATAAAATCTCAAAACACACATACAAAATCTTACCTGAAATATCACATTTTTTAGCCACTGGGTCGAAGTCTTGTGCGTACAGGTCCGATATCTGTACCGTATGACCTTGACCCTCAAGCACGTGTGTAGCCACATCCAGAAGTTTCCCATTAAAAGAAGCCCGGTCTTGATGGGCAAAGACGATAAGTACATTTTTGTTCACTCCTTTGTCAGCAAAAGACGTGCCCGACGTATCTATTAGATGTAAACAATGTCCAATCTTCAAAATTCGCATACAAACTGATATTTGATGTAATATTTATGTCCCATTATAATTTCTTGTTACAGAATATTACCTTCGGTTAGGTTTCATTCACACCTTTCATTTAGAACTGTTTACATCGTTAGTTTTTGTTTCAGGTTGGAATCAAACTGACGTTCGAAAAATTCACGTTAACATTGACGTTTGAGAGATATGCATCCACATTGATGTTTGACAGGTCATGTTCATAATGATGTTTGATATCATCAAGTTCACACTGATGTTTGACAGGTCATGTTCATAATGACGTTTAAGCGATAAACGTTTACATTGATGTTCGCCAGGTCATGTTCATAATGACGTTTAAGAGATACACGTTCACACATGTTTGACAGGTCATATTCATAATGACGTTTAAGAGATACACGTCCACACTGATGTTTGGCAGGTCATGTTCATAATAACGTTTAAGAGATAAACGTTCGCAATGATGTTTGACAGGTCAGGTTCATAATGATGTTTAAGAGATACACGTTCACAGATGTTTGACAGGTCATGTTCATAATGACGTTTAAGAGATACACGTTCACACATGTTTGACAGGTCATGTTCATAATGACGTTTAAGATATACACGTTCACACATGTTTGACAGGTCATGTTCATAATGACGTTTAAGAGATACACGTTCACACTGATGTTTGACAGGTCATGTTCATAATGACGTTTAAGAGATAAACGTTCCCAATGATGTTTGACAGTTCAGGTTCATAATGACGTTTAAGCGATAAACGTTTACATTGATGTTCGCCAGGTCATGTTCATAATGACGTTTAAGAGATACACGTTCACACATGTTTGACAGGTCATATTCATAATGACGTTTAAGAGATACACGTCCACACTGATGTTTGGCAGGTCATGTTCATAATAACGTTTAAGAGATAAACGTTCGCAATGATGTTTGACAGGTCAGGTTCATAATGATGTTTAAGAGATACACGTTCACAGATGTTTGACAAGTCATGTTCATAATGACGTTTAAGAGATACACGTCCACACTGATGTTTGTCACTGACTTTTTAAAGGTTTCGTGTTCACACTGACGTTTTACCAACTACAGCGGGAGCGGTCCCGCAGTGGTTGCTTATGAACTCAGCCCTAAAAATAACACGCATGAAGAAAACACATCCATATCATCAATGATAAGACAGTGAAACAGAACTGAATTTCCCAATAATGCATTTCGTCAATAGCAAAAAGCAACAGGGCGGACATTTCAACAAATATTGTCGGTCAGCCAGTTTGTTAACTATATGTATAGTATGTCAGGTTTTTTCTGATAATTGATAATAGGATGTTACGTTCTTCCTTTTTGTAAACAAGAGGGTGTCACGTTCTCTCTTTTTGTAAAAAATAGGGTGTCACGTTCTCTCTGTTTATTAACTAAAGTATGTCACGTTTTCTCTGCTTATTAACTATAGTATGTCACGTTCTCTCTGTTTATTAACTATAGAATGTCACGTTCTCTCTGTTTATTAAGGATAAGATTTCACATTCTCTCTGTTTATTAACTCTAGGATGTCACGTTCTCTCTGTTTATTATCTAAAGTATGTCACATTCTCTCCGTTTATTAAGTACAAGATTTCACATTCTCTCTGTTTATTAACTAAAGGATGTCACGTTCTCTCTGTTTATTAAGTATAGCATGTCACGTTTTCTGTGTTTATTAACCATGGAGTGTCACGTTCTCCCCGTTTATTAACTATAGGGTGTTACGTTCTCTCTGTTTATTAACTATAGGATGTCACGTTCTCCCTGTTTATTAACTATAGGATGTCACGTTCTCACTGTTTTTTAACTAAAGTATGTCACGTTCTATCTGTTTATTAACTATAGGATGTCACGTTCTCTCTGTTTATTAACTATAGAATGTCACGTTCTCTCTGTTTATTAAGTACAAGATTTCACATTCTCTCTGTTTATTACCTGTAGGATGTCACGTTCTCTCTGTTTATTAACTAAAGGATGTCACGTTCTCTCTGTTTATTAAGTATAGTATGTCACGTTTTCTCTGTTTATTAACCATTGAGTGTCACGTTCTCCCTGTTTAGTAACTATAGGATGTCGCGTTCTCTCTGTTTATTTACTATAGTGTCACGTTCTCTATGTTTATTATCAATATAATGTCACGTTCTCTCAGTTTCGAGTTGATATTCTCTAAATTGACCGACTGTATATATCACTTTTTTTGCAAAACACGCAATACATGAATGGAACAGCAATACCTCCCTACTTTTTGTTACTGTGTTGATGCTTTTGAATTTGAAATACTTAAGGTAATTCGTTTTATTCCACGCGAGTGTCTATATATCCCGGAGGAAAGCAATTTATACTTACATGAGGTCAACGTCAATTCCTTGTATGCTTGTATCATAGAATTTCGTTTAGAAAATGCAATTCAGATCGTCTAAAAACGTATTACTGCGGCTACAGCACGTTTTGTGTGTACCAACTAATGTGTTAATATCAGATATCGTGTACACATCTAAACCTGTCTGGCAATACACTCAAATTTGAATATTACTCGGTAATTTCTAACATGAATAATATCATTAGTAATTGAAATAAAATGTTTGATGTGATCTGTTGCTTCACCCTGAAGGATCTCCTTCGTCACCTAATTTAGCGAACTTTAATATTGAGTGGGGTGTTAATCGCTCGGTGGAAATCCCATATCTAAACTTATCATTCAATAAATAGAAAGGTTACATAAAACCATGAAAGTAAAACAATTTTAAAAACAGAAACTCATCTTACTGAATCAAGTTTTAAGTTAAACCTCCCGAACATAACTCCATGTTTAAATTTTTCAAAGGTAAGTCCATGTTTACACGTGATGGCGCTCATGCAGAAGCTTCGTATTTACGCGTGATCTCACACACACCCCTCCAACATTTTATATGTGATCTCTCATACATAAGCCTCGTGTTTACACCTGATCTCACATACACCCCTCCAACATTTTACACGTGATCTCTTATACATAAGCCTTATGTTTACACTCGATCACATATACACCTCTCCAACATTTTACACGTGATCTCTCATACATAAGCCTCATGTTTACACCTGATCTCACACACACCCCTCCAACATTTTATATGTGATCTCTCATACATAAGCCTCATGTTTACACCTGATCTCTCATACACACATCTACACGTGATCTTTCTTGCATAACTTCATATTTTACACGTGATCTCTCCTCCAACATTTTACACTAACCTCTCATACAAACAATTATAACCCTTATTGCCTGTTATCTGTAATATCTGTATATTTACACGTGTTGAACCTACCTCCGTGTTTACAGGTAACCTCCATGTGTACGTGTGTATCAGGTATATACACAACAAAGACACACATGTCGTTGGAATCAAACTTTATACTTCCGGTCCTGGTTCACTTGGTTTACTGTCATGAACATAAATTTTCCTAACTTGGGATTGCAGTATTGGTCGACCGGTGTCAACTCTAAATAGAGCTGATTTTATTTTAATAAATTCATTTCGGTTTCTTTGGACCCATTCATGTAAATAGGCCTTTTACACGTTGTATAAATAGTCACGAGTGGATAGTTACCGTTAAGGTTCGACTGATCACGTGTACATGATCTGCTTGTTTCGGTGTGTATCTAGGAGAGACGGAACACCAGTACGGTCCAATAAGCAGCTTACTGTTGTAAACCATGTTCGATTCACATTTTGTGTGGTGTACGACAGTGCAAGGTTTACATTCGAACAGCGGAAAAAGTCACTAGAGTAAATCATTGTGTCTGGTTATATCGGTAACGTGTGGATATCCGGGACCTTTAAACTTTAACCCCTCATCATAACAGTTCTGACGACGGTGCGACCGAAAGCCACGAAACAAATTAATTGAATAATAGTGGAATTAAATGATAAACATCGGGTCTGAGGATTAAGTGTATGTTTTAGTACCGCTCGCATAGAGAGAACTTTTCTTTTATCTCGATCACTTAATAGTCAGACTAGTAAGTCAGAGGTCCTAGGTCCGAATCTTAGCGGAGTCATAAATAATGACCTCAGTTACATGTAAAACATATCGGGTTTTATCGTTTTGATTAGATAACAGTGATGTTTGGACAATACAATTATATCTACCACCAGTAATACTGGAAATTACTGAAGTCTTGTACCATCAGCAGTGATGTTTGGGCAATACAATTATATCTACCACTATTATACTGAAAATTACTGAAGTTTTGAATCATCAACAGTGATGTTTGGACAATACATCTACCACTAGTAATACTGAAAACTACTGAAGCCTTGTACCGTCAACAGTGATGTGTGGACAATACATCTACCACTAGTAATACTGAATTCTTGTACCATCAACAGTGATGTTTGGACAATACATCTACCACCAGTAATACTGAAGTCTTGTACCATCAACAGTGATGTTTGGACAATACATCTACCGCCAGTAATAGTGACGTCCTGTACCATCAACAGTGAAGTTTGGACAATACATCTACCACCAGTAATACTGACGTCTTGTACCATCAACAGTGATGTTTGGACAATACAATTATATATACCACGAATGATACTGAAAACTACTGAAGTCTTGTACCATCTACAGTGATGTTTGGACAATACATCTACCACCAGTAATACTGAAGTCTTGTACCATCAACAGTGATGTTTGGACAATACATCTACCACCAGTAATAGTGACGTCTTGTACCATCAACAGTGATGTTTGGACAATACATCTACCACCAGTAATACTGACGTCTTGTACCATCAACAGTGATGTTTGGACAATACATCTACCACCAGTAATACTGACGTCTTGTACCATCAACAGTGATGTTGGGACAATACACCTACCACCAGTAATACTGACGTCTTGTACCATCAACAGTGACGTTGGGACAATACATCTACCACCAGTAATAGTGAAGTCTTGTACCATCAACAATGATGTTTGGACAATACATCTACCACCAGTAATACTGAATTCTTGTACCATCAACAGTGATGTTGGGACAATACACCTACCACCAGTAATACTGACGTCTTGTACCATCAACAGTGACGTTGGGACAATACATCTACCACTAGTAATACTGAACATTACTGAAGTCTTGTACCATCAACAGTGATGTTGGGACAGTACAATTACCACAATATCAGAATGTAGTATTTTACATTGATATGCAGTCTGACTAACTAACACAGGGTGACAATTAGCTTGTTATGTGCATTAGATGTTCAAGGGGAGGCAACTCGCACAGTTGTACCATTAACTTACAAGTCTCGTTTAAATTAATTCTATACCTGTATTTGACATTCTGTTTGAAATTATCAGATATATGAAAATTGCGAAATTCATGGGGAGTAGCATCTCCTCATCAATATCTTATCAATTATTTCGATCAATTTTGTATTTTTCACAGTAGCCTTCAGATCTCTTAGCATCACTGACGAAGTCGGAAGGATGAAACAGCTGTATTTGCATAGTCTTTGAACATACATATATGTATTTTAGCCTCCTAAAGTCAGTCTTTGTCGAACTGCTCACAGTAGTGTCTACCATATTGGTGTATAATGTAACATTTCAATTTGTTCACTTAATGAAATAACACACAATTGTGGTGTGTGGCCTAATTACCACACAAATCAGCACAAAGAAAAAGAATTTTATATAAAAAAATAATTTATTGTTTTATCCGGTGATGTGCCGATAGTTTCTGTGATGCACGTGAGTACACAGTACACGTGCTTACACAAGCTGCAGGTTGATGTACCCTATATCATGTTTCCCGCAACTAATTCTGTTTCTCATGCATGGTCCATTGTACTGTAATGTCTAATTCCTGTAACCAGAAAAAAACAGGGTCGAGATGATACTTCATTTAGTATTTTAACAATATTACAGGTACATACAATTATACACGATAAACCTGGTTGTTACTAATATTGATATAGAATTTACCTACTTCCACAGTTTTAACTGAAAAATTAATCGAAACAAAATGTATTTTAACGTCGGTAATTTATGGCAAATTTAAACATCGTGTAAACATTATCTTATTATTAAATTGAGTCCCATTGAATTTAACGAAAAATAGCCGGCAAATTCGTAAAATAATCACGTAGATTTAGGTGTTATTAAGATGTTTGTTCAAACGGCATCTGATTAATTGTTTTAACCTTATTTGGTGAAAATGTTAAATCATGAACTTACATGACAGTTGGTTATTAGATGTAACTACTCTATAAAAAATCTGAGACCAATATATAAGTAACAGGAATATGACAATGAGTTAGTGTAACCTCAAACCCAACCCTCCCCACCTCCTAAAAAACAAACAAAAGTTCGGCCTTAATGAAATACAGAAAAGATAGAACTTACCTGACGTAAGAGTATGAAAGACTTCAGTAATAATCATCACCTTTGCCATGGTAACGCACTGTACGTCTGACTGTAAACAACAAAACAACAATAATGTAGTCCTGTCTATTGGTGACAAACAATATGATATATATTACTGATTGTTAAAAGAAACAAAAATACTGGAGTCCAAACTACTTGCGATAAACAATATAGTTATCATACTATACAAATACAAATGTAAGTTTTATCATGACCTAATATTAGCGCCAAGTTTACGTGGCGATCACGTGATATCATTTGGTTATGACGTCGCAATAATGTTTTCAAACGCGAGTTTTATCATGAAAGAACGAGCCTCCAGATATGTTGAATTACAAGCTACAAGATACGAGATATATCACATAAACTATATCATTTTTTTTTATATCGATAACGTCGGGAATACCCATTTTTTTCTGTGTAGGGAACATGGCTATACATGTATGAAATTACTTTAGAAATTGTATGCTTTCAACGGTAAAATGTTTGACTTAAGTTTGCACGCTGAAGTGACAGCAGTAAAAACGAAGTACTGGAACACGTATATATGCTGATAACGTCAATATCATAACAATACTACTACGTGAGCGATTTTTTTCGCGGTGAACATTTTGAGCTGATTATGATTAAATAATAATAAATCAAAACTTTCGTCCATTTAATGACTTTTAAGAGAAACATGTTTTTTCTTCAAGCTTTTGACAAAACTAAAAACAATAATAGCAAAACAGAATAAATTTTACCGTAATGTGACAATTTTATCTACATTTTTCTATAACAGTTTTTTATTCATAACATCCTATTACCGATGTATGCTGCTCACAAAAACACATTACTCATCAAGTTAATGCAAAGCATTGAAATAGTAAGTTTTTGAACTCAAAGTACTTTGAACAGATTTTACGTGAACTGAGGTAATTACTTATTCTAAGTAAGATCTACTTATAAAGCCCGACAAAACGTAAAAGATCTGGGTTTTGTACAAGTATATGTGATACAGCATAACTTTTGTAGACAAAACGTAAAAGATCTGGGTTTTTTACAAGTATATGTGATACAGCATAACTTTAGTAGACAAAACGTAAAAGATCTGGGTTTTGTACAAGTATATGAGATACAGCATAACTTTAGTAGACAAAACGTAAAAGATCTGGGTTTTGTACAAGTATATGAGATACAGCATAACTTTAGTAGACAAAACGTAAAAGATCTGGGTTTTGTACAAGTATATGAGACTAAAGAATACTTACTAATGGTTGGTGGAAGGAAGCCAGGCTGGTAACCTCCAAAAAGGAATGGTGGTGGTGGTGGGGGTGGCCTGACCGGCAGGGACAGTTGGTTGATGAGTGGGGGAAGTAGCGCCAGGGTAGCTAGACTTCCGGGGGTGAAGGCTTGGAAATTAAAGGCTTGGCCGGATACACATCCGAGGAGTGCCAGGGCAGCAAGAACGGAGACAAATCCTTTGTTCATTTTTCGTGTCTGTAGAAAGAGAGAAGTTATATTAATAATGAAATATTCTGCAGATGGTGGAATGTTACACAGAGAAAGTGAAATTTCAAGAATCTTTCGGTTTGAACATAAATAAACTGAGAACAGAGATACGAAATAGAAAAAAAGATATTTCAGACAGACAGAAACAGCAACGTAATTATATCACGTAATTTATAACTTGAATTTTATCTAACTGTGAATATAGGTGAAAATTCCAGCATCGATTTTGTGTTGACTACGCGAACTATTCATTTCGTTATATAGAAGATTATAATCACATCGAAAAAAGTTTTAACGTAAATAATCATTGTCTGTTTCACAAAGTAGAATGATTGCAAAAAGTGACCCGTGATGTTGATGATTACATACAATTCCGTTTTAACAGAAAAAATAGAAGGATATGTTAGGTTAGGAAAATGATAAGTTTTTTCTGAAATAATGGTTAGGAATACATTACCGTAGTCAGCAGCTAGAGAACACTGATTTGTACGTTAGATCTGACCTATTTATACCAGCTAGAAAGTGAGGGGATGATCAATTAGGATCAGGCCCTGTCTCCTTGACAATGGATTACGTCACAAGGTGTCCAGGCGGTATACATGACTAAATAAAGACCTTCTGTGTGATGACAGAGTGATGTCCCCTCTGGTGTCACTATGTCAGTTTATGTCCTTGCTGTGATTATGACAACTTCTTTATGTAAACGTAACTGTGTCATAGTAATCTTACACGTGTTTTGACGGACTTATTGGTGCCGATCGTTTTGATGAATCACCATGTATGTAGGGTTAAGGTTTTGGACCAAACCATTTTAAATATTGTTAAACGTTCTTTTCTTGACCATACGTAGAATTAAATTCCGAAAAATGTCGACAGATTGTGCATTGTTATACAGGTACTATAAAGTGTTTAGATTTGTTATCTTTATTCACAATAAACAATCACACACTACAAGCTTCATATTTGTATTCGCATGATGCCTCTGTACAGAGTGGCTATTTGCAGACAGACCTGTTTGATTTTGCTGTCTGTGTTTTTGTTTTTATAAGCTACTTATTTGTTTCTACAGACTGACGATTTGCTTGCGATCGGTGTTTCTTTACAGGCTGTCTATTCGTTCTGTAGGCTGTCTATTTGTTCTGTAGGCTGTCTATTTGTTCTGTAGGCTGTCTATTTGTTTTGTAGGCTGTCTATTTGTTCTGTAGGCTGTCTATTTGTTCTGTAGGCTATTTGTTTTGTAGGCTGTCTATTTGTTCTGTAGACTGTCTCTGTAGGCTGCCTATTTGTTCTGTAGGCTGTCTATTTGTTTTGTAGGCTGTCTATTTGTTCTGTAGGCTGTCTATTTGTTTTGTAGGCTGTCTATTTGTTCTGTAGACTGTCTATTTGTTCTGTAGGCTATTTGTTCTGTAGGCTGTCTATTTGTTCTGTAGGCTGTCTCTGTAGGCTGCCTATTTGTTCTGTAGGCTGTCTATTTGTTTTGTATGCTGTCTATTTGTTTTGTAGGCTGTCTATTTGTTCTGTAGGCTATTTGTTTTGTAGGCTGTCTATTTGTTTTGTAGTCTGTCTATTTGTTCTGTAGGCTGCCTATTTGTTCTGTAGACTGTCTATTTGTTTTGTAGTCTGTCTATTCGTTCTGTAGGCTGTCTATTTGTTTTGTAGACTGTCTATTTGTTCTGTAGACTATTTGTTTTGTAGGCTGTCTATTTTTTCTGTAGACTGTCTCTGTAGGCTGCCTATTTGTTCTGTAGGCTGTCTATTTGTTTTGTAGGCTGTCTATTTGTTCTGTAGGCTGTCTATTTGTTTTGTAGGCTGTCTATTTGTTTTGTAGTCTGTCTATTTGTTTTGTAGGCTGTCTATTCGTTCTGTAGGCTGTCTATTTGTTCTGTAGACTGTCTCTGTAGGCTGTCTATTTGTTTTGTAGGCTGTCTATTTGTTTTGTAGTCTGTCTATTTGTTTTGTAGTCTGTCTATTTGTTCTGTAGACTGTCTCTGTAGGCTGCCTATTTGTTTTGTAGTCTGTCTATTTGTTCTGTAGACTGTCTCTGTAGGCTGTCTATTTGTTCTGTAGGCTGCCTATTTGTTCTGTAGGCTGTCTATTCGTTCTGTAGGCTGTCTATTTGTTTTGTAGACTGTCTATTTGTTCTGTAGACTATTTGTTTTGTAGGCTGTCTATTTGTTCTGTAGACTGTCTCTGTAGGCTGCCTATTTGTTCTGTAGGCTGTCTATTTGTTTTGTAGGCTGTCTATTTGTTCTGTAGACTGTCTCTGTAGGCTGTCTATTTGTTTTTTAGACTGTCTATTTGTTCTGTAGGCTGTCTATTTGTTTTGTAGGCTGTCTATTTGTTCTGTAGACTGTCTCTGTAGTCTGCCTATTTGTTCTGTAGGCTGTCTATTTGTTTTGTAGTCTGTCTATTTGTTCTGTAGACTGTCTCTGTAGGCTGTCTATTTGTTTTGTAGGCTGTCTATTTGTTTTGTAGTCTGTCTATTTGTTCTGTAGGCTGTCTATTCGTTCTGTAGGCTGTCTATTTGTTCTGTAGACTGTCTCTGTAGGCTGTCTATTTGTTCTGTAGGCTATTTGTTCTGTAGGCTATTTGTTCTGTAGGCTGTCTATTTGTTTTGTAGGCTGTCTATTTGTTCTGTAGACTGTCTCTGTAGGCTGTCTATTTGTTCTGTAGGGCTGTCTATTTGTTTTGTAGTCTGTCTATTTGTTTTGTAGGCTGTCTATTCGTTCTGTAGGCTGTCTATTTGTTCTGTAGACTGTCTTTGTAGGCTGTCTATTTGTTCTGTAGGCTATTTGTTCTGTAGACTGTCTATTTGTTCTGTAGGCTATTTGTTTTGTAGTCTGTCTATTTGTTTTGTAGGCTGTCTATTTGTTTTGTAGGCTGTCTATTTGTTCTGTAGACTGTCTCTGTAGTCTGCCTATTTGTTCTGTAGGCTGTCTATTTGTTTTGTAGTCTGTCTATTTGTTCTGTAGACTGTCTATTTGTTTTGTAGGCTGTCTATTCGTTCTGTAGGCTGTCTATTTGTTCTGTAGACTGTCTTTGTAGGCTGTCTATTTGTTCTGTAGGCTATTTGTTTTGTAGGCTGTCTATTTGTTCTGTAGGCTATTTGTTCTGTAGACTGTCTATTTGTTTTGTAGGCTGTCTATTCGTTCTGTAGGCTGTCTATTTGTTCTGTAGACTGTCTTTGTAGGCTGTCTATTTGTTCTGTAGGCTGTCTATTTGTTTTGTAGTCTGTCTATTTGTTTTGTAGGCTGTCTATTCGTTCTGTAGGCTGTCTATTTGTTCTGTAGACTGTCTCTGTAGGCTGTCTATTTGTTCTGTAGGCTGTCTATTTGTTTTGTAGTCTGTCTATTTGTTTTGTAGGCTGTCTATTCGTTCTGTAGGCTGTCTATTTGTTCTGTAGACTGTCTTTGTAGGCTGTCTATTTGTTCTGTAGGCTATTTGTTTTGTAGGCTGTCTATTTGTTCTGTAGACTGTCTCTGTAGACTGTCTATTTGTTCTGTAGGCTGTCTATTTGTTTTGTAGGCTGTCTATTTGTTCTGTAGACTGTCTCTGTAGGCTGTCTATTTGTTCTGTAGACTGTCTCTGTAGGCTGTCTATTTGTTCTGTAGACTGTCTCTGTAGGCTGTCTATTTGTTCTGTAGACTGTCTCTGTAGGCTGTCTGTTTGTTCTGTAGACTGTCTCTGTAGGCTGTCTATTTGTTCTGTAGACTGTCTCTGTAGGCTGTCTATTTGTTCTGTAGGCTGTCTATTTGTTCTGTAGGCATTATTAACTTGAAGGTTGATTTAGATCATGGCGGATGGAAGTGGACACAGAAATATCGTTAAAGTTTAAGGGACTTAAAGTCAAAGATATTCCAAATAGTTTGAAATTAAACTTTGGGCCCAGTACGCTATAATGTACATTGATACAATTAATTTTTTCAACACGATTTCTTTTTCGTTAGATTTTTTTCTGACGTGTAGATATTGATACAATTCATTTTTTTCTACACGATTTCTTTTTCGTTAGATTTTTTTCTGACGTGTAGATATTGCTGCACTATTATGGGACGATTGGTACCTGTTGGGTAACGTTACTTCTTTAATTAGTTGTGTGACACCTGCCGAGACAAGGACGTGATTTTATAAGTTGTCGCCCCTGGCATCTAGTAATTAACATGTACATTTGATTATGTTGCGGGTAATCACAATGGCCGATTCACAACGACCAGCCCCTCGAGGTCAAGAAACTGACCTACTGTGGACCTAACTATTGGCGTGCGCGCGATAAATAAAATATGTGACAATCACATGATAGGCTAGGTATGGGCGTTAGATGTATTTGAAGTATTTCTATCTAATGAATGTACAGAGATAATAATTCAGATTTTGATATAAATTTAATCATCTACGACAGTAAAAGAAATTCTTAAAAAATTAATTCATTGATAATCAAACATTGATAAAAATCAAAGCAATCCCAAATTATCTCACGTTTGTCCATATCATACATTTACATTTCAGGGACACGTGAGACAAATGGACTGATTCCATGTTCAGACTGGTTTATAGTAAAACTTTTATATGATATTGAACCAGATTAGATGCTTCATTGGTAGATCTACTTGCTTATTAAAAGAAGATAAATTTAGATAATTCATAACAAAAAGACGACCTGTACAATACTTTCTATAATTGTTTTACAAAATATCTATTGATAACATACCAGGAAAGGTATAGAACAAAAAAACGTCAACCAGTCAATGAAATCGAAATTCGAACTGAAAATTAGCGTGTCCTTAGGAAAACCTCGTGTATCAGTTAATGGAAAATTTTGAAATGATTTCACCGACATTGTCGGATTTTTACAAGGAGAAATATATCCTCATGACGTTTTTCTTTATTCGTGAATGATTTTGAAATAAGTTAATTGAAAATGGCGCCATGAACTACGATTTTGGAGAACGTCTTTTATCTTCTGTGCGTAAATGACTCAATCTAAGATA